GAACTGCCTTGACATTAGAGTTAAATATCCTAATTTTTGTGGTAATGGAGATGGCCGAAATTTTCCATATGGGTCGCAGGACTGTGAAAGCGCAGCGGGCTCTATTAACTCTAGCGCGTATGTCCCCCTCTGTGCCTCCCGTTTTGCTGATCTTGCTGCCAAGGTACGGTAGCTTAGGGCCCTAGATTCTAAGGTGCCCCCGAATTTCTATTTATTAAAGAGCGCATTTTATATACAACTAGCCATCGGTACCCGTTTCACGTTAATTATAGGCCTATATATTTTAAAATGTTGTACTTGTTTGAGAAAAATAATCTATAAAATAGTAATTGGTCAAAACGCAATGTGCTTTACTACACGCTGAACAATATTAGTGACCAAGCAAAGAAATAACTAATTAGGTAAAAATCCGACACATTTAACATAACACAGGCCCACACTGATTAAGTGACTTAAATGATTCCCTTAAAAACTCTGCTATTAAATGGTGTTCTTCTTGTTTTTAATGTGATTTATTTTTATTAGGTTTTTATGTATAGATCTATAGATTTAAATAAAATGGTTCATTTCTTCATCGGTAACCATGCCATATTAAATGCATTCGCTGAATAAGAGGCTTAAAATTAAGAGACTTAAAAGATTTCTTTAAAAACCCGTTTAATGGTAGTTATGTTGTTTTTGTCTTTTAAAAACAACTATTTCGGCTGAGTATGGGTCTCATTACACTATCCCTTCATATGCTAAAACGACTGACTCAGGTGAACTCTACTTCACCTGTCCCTTGTCCCGCCAAGTCCCGATAGGCAACTTTATCATCAACATATTAAAAAAAACAATTGAAAAAAAAGATTGAATTGGTGTGTCTCGAGCCCGTACCATTCGCATGGTATCACTCTCATCTCAGCTATTTAGGCACCTTATGTCATGATTAATGAAGAATTAAAGACCTACTTAAGAAACAACCCTATTCTTTCAAAGTAAATTTTATCCCACGTTAGCCGACTCCATAGCTAAACAAACAAAGATTTCTATCAAATAATTAACACCTGATATAGAGTCTAGTTTAATATAGGAATTTATTATGGGAATAGATTCTAGAGTAGATAGTCTAAATTTAGATCTTAGCGCCTAAGTCTAGTTTTTCCGTATATCTAATCTAGATCTAGAATCTCTAGACCTAGAATCCAAATAGGGAAAATGGTATTGTATACATTTCATAGCGTGCGTAGCTCTAAATCTTATTTGAATGAAATAGTTCATTCTTTATTTTATTCTAAACTCGGAGGATGACGTCATTAGTTTCGTGTAAACATTAAGTGACGTCATTGTTAAATGCGTTTTTGTCCAAACTATAACCACTTTTCCAGTTGCTTAATTAAAATTGTTTTTCTTCATTCGAATACGCCTTTATTTTTTTATTTTTCTTCTTTAAATACAATCGTGGTTATACATTTGAAACATCTACCATATTATTTTCTAAAGTCCGTATCAAGTTCTCCATAAATCGCGGAAGATTCTGATGTGATATCCGGCGAAAATATTTTGCGGACAGAGAGAGAGAGAGAGAGAGAGAGAGAGAGAGAGAGAGAGAGAGAGAGAGAGAGAAGTGCGCACATGGGTTATTATATATTAGGATTATATGTAGATAAATTAATTCAATAAAACAAAGTCATCACTCATATCTAGTTAAATGTTCAACAACATATAAAATTGGTTGTTTTAAAATAGCATATAATAATAAAAGAAGATTTGCATTGCGATTTGATTTTGTTTCTTTTTTCGTGTATTCTACCCAAGGTATTCTGATTGTTAACTTAAGTATAAACTTATGTAAATCAGTTTTCGAACTTCCTAATATATTCGAATAACACTATACAAATAATTCATTTCAATGTTTTTATTTAAAGTCGATCGAAATCTATCAGACATTACAGTGCGCCAAACTTTAAGTTGTTGCCATGATGAAAATGTTTTTGTATGACATTTTAAAAATTTGTCCGTTCAGCCCTAACATGTACCCTACATAACAAACATAACATAAAATATATATTTCAAACATACATACTTCACCTTTTGTTTGAAAATCTCAGTAATAGAACAGTTGGAGGACTGTAGCTTTTATAGCAATAGCTAATATCGATTAATTGTAGACGGGTCTTCGTTATATTACTACGCTCTTTTCATTCCATAATTATATCCGAAACCTAAGGAACAATGTTTTTGTAGCTCCAAACTTTATATTTTAAATGCACGTAAACTTAAAACATGTTGAAGCCCACATAAGTTCAACGATGTTGTTCGGATGAAGGCGTGGCTACCCCCCCCCCCCCCCTACACACACACCGTCAAGTGAATAATAACATACACAACATATGAAGGTTCATATAATAAACTACCCGTATCGTCTAGGCTTTGCTCCAGCCATTTATAGCAATATCGACATTTAAATGATAACAAAAACACGTATAATGTGGGTTTAAATAATTTGCTTTTAAACAGCTATGTATAAAGCTAAGCTAAATGCTGGAACATAAAAATATCTCTGTGAATATGAAACAAGCTACCTATCACCTGCCCTTCCTCGATAACACAGCTCCATACACACATGTGTTCGAGTTTGTTAAATAAAATGGAACCACGGCATGATGATACTTTCATTATCCTGACAAGCAACAACACCGTGTGATACAATTAAAATATTTAAAATATTGTTGTCCGCCTAATTGAATCAGCCCTCAAATTATCGGTGTTTTAGAAATTTGTAGTAGAGTACGGTACACCCTCCAGTTATGGAAGGCCACTGAAAAACAGAAAGTTATTTAAGTATAAAATCTTACACAAACAATTGGAAATTTCGTCGACTTAACTGAAGCAGTTATTGTATGCACAAGGAAATATAGTGAAGTAAAACTTTCACTTACAAGATGTCTCTCAAAATTTGAAAAAAAACTACAAATTTGACATAATACTTATATATAAAATTTTGCTAACCTAACTGAAACGGTTTTCAAGCTATCGTGTTCAAGTACATACAAAATGAAAGAATTTCAAAAGTAAGTTTTTCCGGCTCCAGTAGGTTGTAAAACGTCAAAATTTGTCAAAATCTCAATTTAGATTTATGCACGATTACGACACATCCTTTATATTCCGTATACTGTTTACGATAAAGTAAGTAGGTGCAAACGGCGAAAACTGCCAAAATATCTGATAGATATTCACCACGATTAAAATATTTTTGTATACTCTGTATACAAGAAAGTAAAAATAAGCCACCATAATACCCATTAAATGTTAAATAATATGTACAGGATTTCCAATACCTCAACCTATCTTAAAATATTAAGAATTTCATCTATAAGCATACACATAAAGCTTAACTTAAATGCTAATCGAAATGTGACAAGTATTAGCACCTTATTATAAATTTGTCTACTTCTATATATCCCTTTATTTAGTTCCATATCCCTAACCCTATTTCTTGACCAAACTACTAGACGTATTGTTGACCATCATACTACCCGTGCTCTTTATACACCTCTTTTAGGTGACCCTTACACTTATCCGTTCACTTACCTTTACGATTATCCTTATTCTTACCCTTACATGGTGCGCGGACCTTTGACCACAGGTGCTTTGACCATAGAGGGTTTGACCATAGGGGGTTTGACCACAGCGGAGCTTTGACCATAGGGGCTTTGACCATAGGGGGTTTGACCACAGCGGGCCTTTGACCACGTGTGTTTTCTCAGCAGAGGGTCTTTGATCACAGGTGGTCTATCAACTGGTGTTTGATCACAAGCGCTGTGTCCGGCTTTGATCATAGGTGTGATACAATTAACACGATTTTATACATGTTTCCTGAGAGTACGTTAATAGAAATTAACATGTATTTTAAAAAAAAGCCAAAACTATATTTTAGTCTCCACATAAAGGCTGGTGCTAGGCCTCATAGATTTATTTTAAATATAAATGAAACACAAATATTGCGACATATAACAAGTTTCACAAATAAATAATGTAGATGTACTTAAAAATATATAGCATAATTATATAAAGAATAAAAAATGATACAAAACTTGCCAACAATATAGTCAAAGATGTAATACATAAAATGGTTAACTAAATGACAGATGTGCTATAGCACGCAAATATGTCAGTACATCTGTTTGACCATATGTCTGGACAGCACGTTGTACTTTTTCGTGCAGCATCTTGTATCGCTTCTCAGCTGGGTAGCTTGCCCCTGCGACACCTTGCAAGAAAGTTGTCTTTTGCCGTGTGCAGTCCATCTGTAGACCTTCAAGGAAACGCCACATTGTTGGGTGATTACATTGGAGGAGAGACTGAAGACTGTAAAGCCATCCTTCACAAATGTTATTTGTTCGTGCTACACCATCGCCAATCGTGTGCATTTGATTCCAAGTTTCAACTGGAAATAAAACACCTGAGATCAAAGACCCTATGTGGACAAAACACCTATGATCAAAGCCGGACACAGCGCTTGTGATCAAACACCAGTTGATAGACCACCTGTGATCAAAGACCCTCTGCTGAGAAAACACCTGTGGTCAAACCCCCTATGATCAAACCCCTATGGTCAAAGCACCGTTATGGTCAAAGCCCCGCTGTGGTCAAAGCCCTATGGTCAAAGCCCCTATGGTCAAAGCACCTGTGGTCAAAGGTGCAGGACCCCTTACATTTATCTTTACTCTAACCCTTACACTTACAGTTTACCTTACCATTACCCTTAACCATTACCCCTTATCCCTTACACTTACTCCTCACCCTCGCCCTTACACTTACACTCGCACTTGTTCTTACTCCTACCCTTACTCTTACCCTTACCCCTACAATTACCTTTACACTTAATCTCACACTTAACCTAAACAGGCAGGCAGATAGACGGACGGACGGACAGAAGGGGAGACTGGCAGTTGGACAAACAATAATGAGACATAACATATAAGCCTTTTTTCATTTTTCAATACATTTTATTTTTTGAATGGTTTCCAAGTGAGAATATTGATTTTTTTTTTAAATCATGAAGTTACTTTCTGTGCCTTCGGGTATAAGCGTTTGTGATCATGGCTTATCTCATGGCTTATCTGCCATCCTGCAGCACCGAAGCTTGGTCAAGCAGCGCAGATCATTACACCCAACCCGATACACGCCCACAGCGTAGGTCCCGGTGAAACAACGACAGCAGCTTGCCTGCTTCAAACACCCGGTGATGTCTAGATCGTAACAGTAACCGTAGCTGGCGGGGTGGTTCAGCGGCTTGTGGCACTGGGCTTGGTCGATGTAGTCGGGACTCCAGTTACCTTTTGATCTGTAGAGGCCGCTTAGGAAATAACCAGCCGGACAAAGAGACCAGGTGTTGATCTTGTCCAAAGTTTTCCGCCAGTTTACACTAACGGAATCGGTGCCGTTTCTCCATCGGTCTGGTTTCGAGCAGCACTCGACATTTTCAACGTTGTCGTTATAATCGTATCTCCCTATAAACACACTCAGGCATATACCAGTGATGAGGTCGCCAGGACGTTTACATTGCGTCCACCCTCCGATTTTAAAGCTATCAGCCCAGATGACATCTTGGCAGTTCGCGTGCACGTCGACCACCGTTGTCCTGGCCATTGTACAACAGCGCACCTTTTCTACGCAGTGTTGCTCTCCACAGCGGTACAACCCGACCAGGTAAAACTCATCGTCGCATTTACAGCATCCTGGTTGCTGATTGCAGTACCGGATTAGCTTATCGTAACAATAACCATAACTAGCTGGGTGGTTCTGAGGCTTATGGCATCGTCCTGCTCCCAGACTGCTGAGATTCGGATGATCGTTTATCCTGTACAGTCCAGTAATGAAATACCCGACCGGGCATAAAGCCCAGGACCAGGCATTACCCGGCGCCGGCCAGCTGACGTAATCTCCACCTTCTTTCCACTGCTCCAGCTTAGAGCAACACTGGACGTGCTCCAGGTTGTCGATGTACTCGTTCAGCTTCACGTCATTGCTCCGGCACAGGCCTGAGAGGTAGTCGCTCGTACGGTTACATTCAGATAACCCTGGTTTAGCGGAGATGGAACCCCAGTTCAATCTAAGGCAATCGGAGGATACACCGACCACTAGGACTAGGAAAGCTAGTACTCTCACTTTAACATAGTCCCACATTTCTGAAAGATATTAATATAACACAAGTGTTAATTAAAAATATCTACACATTCTCATAAGTCAACTCATACGTCTATTTTTTTACACAAGAAAAGTTAATACTCTCACTTTAGTTCCACATTTCTGAAAGGCATTAATGTAAAACAAGTATTAATTTAAAATGTCTACACATTCTCATAAGTCAACAAATACGTCTATGTTTGTATTAACAAAACTTATTAATATTACAGCTTTTTAAAAATAATGTTTATCTTTCATGTTGAAGTTAGAATAAGAGGACTAAGAATACTTTTAGAATCAGTTATTAAGTAGTTTTTTTACAGCAGTTAATCTCACATTTTTTTCTATACTTATGCTATATTTTGTTTTAAATAAAAAGGTCCTACCATTTCTAAATAAATGTTTGCTTTTCATTTGTACGATTTTGCGGGTTTTATTGCGTTTAGCCGTTGAGCTAAAATCAACTCAGACCAAACTGTTACATTTGTTGGTTTTATTTGTTTATAGGTGTCATAGGTTTAATCACAAAATATGTTAGGACCACAAGTCTCAAGACAAAACATCCCATGACAAATTTTTTCAAGGGGATAAAATCTTAGAATCTTAATTTTCATGACAAAATATAGCAGGACCAAATTTCTCAAGACTAAATGTAGTAGGACCAAATTTCTTAAAGACAAATTATCTTAGCATCAATATTATCAAGGCGTAATGTAATAGGACTAAATTCCTTAAGAGAGAATATCTAAGAAACAAAATTCTCAAGACAATACGTAATAGGACCAAATTTCTCAAGACAAAACATCTCAGATAGAAAACAACTCCAGACATTTTGTCTGAGACATTCTGTCGTGTGACCGTGCCATTCATCTACTCTACTGTACTATTTTAAATACAAGTGATCTCACAATGCAGAACAGAAAGACATACATACTTCACATAACAACATCTAACAAAGTTTACAAACAATCCAAAACAGAAAAATTCGTAATTCACTTAACTAAAAAATAAGATGTAAATACATACTTTATCGCTTGTTTTTGTGTTTCAGTAACACAAAGTTTGGAGGCTTCGCTCTTATATAGGAAAATGAATCGATGATATTTAATACGTTCTGTTTTATCTTTAATCCGCTTACGTAAATAAAATAATTAATGAAAATATTAATAAAGTGTGATACAAGGTGGGATATGTACGCTGACATATATGTTGTTTTGGGTGTAAAATGTAAGCTGGCATAAACGTAACATTGTGAGGGATATGTAAGCTGACATAAAAGTTGCATTGTGGAATATGTAAGCTTTTTATGAGTGTTAGTATGTTGGACATGTAAGCTGAAATAAATATAATTGTAAGTGGTATCTATATGTTACATAAATGTACTTTGGGTGGGTTATGTAAGCTGACATTTATGTAACCCTGGGTGGGATATGTAAGCAGGCGTGTATTGACCAGGTGTAACAATGAGTGGAATATACAAGCTGGTAAAAGTGTATTTTTGGGTGGAATATGTAAGATGACCTTCAGTGTAACTGTGTTGTATATATAACCTGACGTACATGCAGCCTTGGTGGAGTATGTAAGCTGTAATGTAATAACCATGATTGCAAGTGGGTGCTGACGTATGTGCAGGCTTGGTGGAGTATGTAAGCGGAAATGCATGCAACATTGTGTGCGATATGTAAGCTGACATGTAATGACCATGAGTGTAAGTGTGAGGGATGTGTAATCTGACCTACATGCAGCCAAGGTGGAATATGTAAACTGTCATGTAATACCCATTTTCAGACATTGGTAGGGGGCCTGTCATGTTCTAGTTATAATAAGAAAGACAAAACGGTTTTAAATCCCCATTAATACCAGTATCAGAAATCTGAAAATTAATAGATATATACACAGTGTAACGGATGCAACTGGTATCTTAAGCTGTATTTATTTACATTGAAACTCTATACATACACATTAATCACTGTTATAAAAAGATACAGTTCGTATTCAGTCATTTTAATGATGTATGACTTAATTTGAGCGGTATTGCTAGTTTCGTTTCTAGCAAAGGAGAATATGATTTGATCCTTAATTATTCTTTTTCATTCACTATTCATTATCTACACAATTCAACTTTTTTTAAAATGTGTGTTGGTATCAATTTAACCTTAACCACAGCTGGTAACTGACGGCTCCTATTGCAATTCTTTTTTTAGGAAGGTGCGATTTTCGTCATATATATATTACATATATATATATATATATATATATATATATATATATATATATATATATATATATATATATATATATATATATATATATATGTATGTATATATATACATATATATATATATGTATGTATATATATACATATATATATATATATATATGTATATATATATATATATATATATATATATATATATATATATATATATATATATATATATATATATATATATATATATATATATATATATATATATATATATATATATATATATATATATATATATATATATATATATATATATATATAAAGAAAAAGAGAGAAATGACCCCCACTGCCATTTAGATCATTATCATTTTCCCCTGACATTGCCCAGCACATGCCAACAAACCCACGTTCATTCTCTCACATAATGTAAATTACACTCTCCGCCATCCCCCACTTCAAAACAACTGGAGTAGGATATTATCCCATTCCTTGTATCTATGTCGGACATCTCTCCATAGGTCAATGGCTAAAGTGACATTAATTTTAGATCATTGTTGGTGTTGTGATACTATAAAAATTGCAAACTAATGCTTTGCGCAAATTTTCGGTAAACCCCCATAAATTATACTTTTAAATTTCAGCATTACCAGTTAAGCTATTATTTTTTACATCTGCCATGTAGCCACAAGAAAAATTTAGATCTAGATCTATATTTTTTTAAAAAATTATATTAAGTTATTAAACATGCATAAAACAACAAAATAAAAATAGTTTCTGTATGAACCAAAAGAAGTTGTACCAATATTACAGAATCAAGTTTTTCTAATCACACATATTTTCTAACACAGATTACGTTTTTTAGAAAACAAAATGAATATTTTCTTTCAGAGATTAACTCGCTTAATGTGATGGGCCGTGAATACAAATAGCCAGCGTAAAAATTATTTTAAAAAACAAAATAAGATTTTGAAGATGAAAAACTGTATTCCAGAATTTTTAATATAACTATTTAAGACCTAAAACAATAAAAACTATAATTGAACTGTAATAAATGATATATCTTTTGAAAAGCGGAAGCAACGTAGTTTGAAGGCGGATAGCAACAATAGGATGGTTAAAAAATAGAAGTTAACTTCGACATTTGTGAACATCTTTTACATCGATGAATGTCATCAATCAGTCGAATGGACAGAATAAACAAATTCGTGTTGACATCAGTTCTTTTGTGCATTATGTTTCATATAAGCACAAGTTGGTATCCTTAGTTAATTAAATTAAAATTTCATAAATAGGCCTAATTATTTTAGAAAAAAAAACTAATAGTCTAGTTATTAATTATTAAATCTAGGCCTAAAAAGAATAAAATAAAATATTTTAATTATTTTTAAACTTTGGTCTTGTTGTATGATTTCTTCAAAATAAAAAAAAAATTATTAACAACGAAGAAGAACCAGAAATACATTAGTGGTAACTCTCAGAGGCGAGGGGGGGGGGGGCGGGGGGTGCGGACCGCACCGGATGACACCATTTAGGGGGGGTGACACCAAGGCAAAAAATAGCGAAATATATAGAGAAAACTTGAGGGGGGGTGCAAATCGAAAGTGTGAGGGGGGGGGGGGGGGGGGTGCAAATTGAAAGTTTGAGGGGGGGGGGGGGTGCAAATCAAAAGTTTGAGGGGGGTGCAAATCGAAAGTTTGTCCCCGGGAAGGGTCGCTACTCCTCTGGGGGGTGACACACCATTAAGTGCCGCACCGGGTGACACCCGACCTCGCTACGCCACTGGTAACTCTATTCATCAGTAGATCTATACAACATATTATAGAGAAGTATGATTGCCGGGGCAATTATATAGTACGTACGGTGTTTTTCTGCTTGTGTTCAGTCAACGTTTGACGATTACAAGGTTTTATTTCACAATTCCTTTGTCGTGCTGTTGTCGTGCGTCAGTCATGGGTCAACCATTGCGAGCGAAATTTCCATCAATTCTTCCGCACCGATTTTTTTCGAACTTGACAATTAGTCTTTGACCCGATGACAATGCATTATGAGATAAAATTTGACTTACTTGTATGTTTATTTAATGTTTTTAATTAATGAAACATTGCTATATAAAGTACTCATTTTATAGCGCTATTGACACAAATTGTTGCGTTTATTTGGTGTGCAATGCTTACTAGCTATCAGTGTTTCATCCAGTCTTTTTTCTCCGGGGGCGGGGGTTGTGGGGAGAGGTGAGCACTTGATATTATCGGGAGAGGGGGCGGACTAAACTTTAAAACTGGTAAAATTATATTTTTTCTATATAAATTCCATTTCGTTCGGGGAGGGGGATGGCGGTAGACTCTCTTGGGGAGGACCCCCACCCCCTCTCCGAAGAGATGCCTGGAAGAAACACTGTTTTGGAGTTTTCACTCCTAGAAAAGTTTTCTAGCGATCGAGCTTCATCTGTCCTGGGGTTTGAACTCGGGACTCTTTCATGAGCTTAACAAAAATAAATAATAAATGCCACTGGTGGCTAATGTTTTAATGAAATTCTTCCACAGCATCGGCGACCGACAATAAGGAAAGCCCACCAGCAAGAGGTCTAGTTCCGAAGCTATGTGCAAGTTGCGCAGATGTGTTACAAAATGTGGTGAATAAATAACATTAGATTTAACATAACTGTTTGTAAGCAGTGTTTCTTTCAGACATTTTTATCTAGCTGCCGGAAACTTGAATCGTAAGTAAGCGGCGGAATTAATGTATATATATATATATATATATATATATATATATATATATATATATATATATATATATATATATATATATATATATATATATATATATATATATATATATATATATATATATATATATATATATATCAATTATACTTTTTCTATTTTGTGCGGTGCGAGAGGGGGCGATGGAAGTGCTTTAGGTTAGGGGCGGTAACCCCCCCCCCCCCCCCACACTCCGTAGAGATTCTGAAAAAAAACACTGTAAGACTGCATCAGAGTGTGTGAATCCTTTGTTTCAAACAGCCCCATCCCTAGCTAAGGACGAAGAAAAATTAGTATACGTGTATTTATCTTGAAATTAAAAAAGCGATAAGCTTAAAACAGTTAAGGCGAGAAATGTCAAACACCGGAGGGGGTAAAAGTAAAAATGGTGAAGTAAATATGTAAAAAGTAAAGTAAAGTTTCCCTTTCAAACCTGGCGGTCTATGGGGCAAATGAAGTAGAGTTCACTTGTTTCTGTGACCTCGGCATATGAAGAGATAGTGTGGTCAGCACTATGCTCAGCCGCCTTTACTTTCCCTAACGTGAGATAGGTACCCATCAGAGTTGGGTGGACTCAGGGACGGTCTATTGACTTAAACCCGGATTTGATCTCGAGACTTACGGGTTAGCAGTCCAACTCTCTACCGCTAGACTACTCCGTCCCAAGTAAATATGTGACTGGTGATAACTATACCAGGGGCGTAGGGCTGTTAGGTGTTACCTGGTGTAGTTGTCGAGTTTAGTATGTCCTCCGCTAGCTCGTATGTCAATTCACATAACTTTGGCTCTTGTGGATTGCTTTGGTCAGCACCTCAATACGTTTTAAACAAGAACCGCGTACCATCTAAATAATAGCATCGAAAGACAGTCTGACGTTACATAGACCAGTGACAAAAACTGTTTCTTTCAGACATTTTTCTCAGTTGCGGTGGGGGGGGGGGGGGGGGGGGGGGGGGGGGGAAGGAGGGGCACTTGAAATTTTCGGGGAGGGGGGGGGACTAAATTTTTTAGAGGGGGTGGTCCGGATACTTGTAATAGTATATATTTTCTATATTAATTCTATACGTATATATATATTTTTTCTTTATTTTGTAT